CCACTAACTACTCCAAAAAAAACCCCCCCAAAAAACCTGTGTATATTCTCTTATGAATAATTCTTTTACCAAACAATCTGTTGTTCCTCATAATCTGTGTGGAGGGGCTGCTTTTTTGAGACAGGGTCTTTTTTGTTTGTTTGGTACCAGGGATGGTACTCAGGACCTTGCATTTGCAAGGCAGGCAGCAGCACCACTGAGTTTCATCCCCAGTGAGACAGGGTCTTATGTAGTCCAGGCTGGCCTTGAACTCATAGCAGCCCTTCTGCCTTAGCCTTCCAAGTGCTGGGATTACAGGCCTGTACTGCCATGCCTGGTTTATTGTATGGGTTATTGACACATTTTTCACCTAGAATTTAAAAGGACTTGAAGAAAATGTTCTAATAAAATGACGTGTGTGTGTGTGTGTGTGTGTGTGTGTGTGTGTTGCTGGTGATCAAACCCAGGGCTTTGTTTTTGCAAGGTAAAACACTCCACTGAACTGCATCCTTAGCCATAAAATGACATTTTACAATAGAGTTCCCAAAATTTTAAATTAACATTTCTTAGTAAGTAAAATGTTTAATCTCTGGGGGGGGCACAACACTAGAGAATCCTTTCAAATGAAAATTTTATTGTGTAGAACTCCTGTTTTGTTATTGTTTGTTTGGTTTTTGGTTCTTTGGGTTTTTTGGGGATTTTTTTGTGGCACTGGAAGTTGAATTACATCTCCAGCAGCAAGCTAGCTAGCATGTTTGCCTGCCTACCTGCCTGCTATTTCTCTCCCTCTTCCCTGTCCCCCCGACCCTAGCTCTTGCTAGGTTACCCAGGTTGGGCTCAAACTTACTATCTTCCTGCCTCAGTCTCCCAGAGAGCTGGGACTACAGGCATGTGCCACCATGCCCTGCTCCACGTATAACTTTTAAATGATCACGGGTATGCATATTTCTTTGGATCCATCTAACTTAGCCACAGATTCAAGAGGGTTTTGCAAAATGGCTGCCTACTAGCACTAGTGAGTGTACTGAGTCCTGCAGGGACTATGGTGAGCATTGCTTGTAGACACCACTGCACGACCGGCTGTGCAGGTCTCCTGTGTGTGCTGGTGTGATGCTGCTTCTTCCCTGTTCCCTGCTGCTGTCACCTGGGCTGGCTAATACATATGTCCTGTCACCTTTCCAAGAGCCTCTTGCAGGTATAGAACTGAGGATTCTCAGAATGACCTTCTCTAATGTAAATGAGTCTGAGCCCCATGTTGGACACTTAGTGAAGATCTCTAGGAATGGATTTTGAAAAATCCTCCAAGGTCATTCTAATCCTGTTTTCCAGCCGATACTGTAGAGGCTGTGACATATCCTACAATTTGGTGTGTAATGAGTACTTAACCAAATAAAGACAGGAAGAGGAGGAGGCCTGACAAGTTATCCACAGATTTGCACAAAGAATTTTGGAAATCCCTAAACAACCTAGTGTTTACTGATGAGGCTACTAAACCGTCCAGAGAAGTTAATTAACTTTTCTAAGATAATACTGGTTGAGTAGCCTGATCCGAAATGCTTGGGACCGGAAGTGTTTTAGAATTTGGGTATTTTCAGATTTTGAAATATTTGCAAATATGTATAGATATTTTGGGAAGGGAACCCAAGTCTAAACAATACGGGCTGAAAGTGCCTTTATATATGTTGAGTACACATGTGATTTGATTGACGTCATGAGGGCACTGTAGAACTTTCCATTTGTGGTTTCACTTTGGTTACACTTTGGATTTTGAAGCATTTCAGATTGAGGTTTCTATGTTGGGAAAGCTCAACGTGTATAATTTATACAGGCGTGAGAACCCAATTGTCATTTTTTTTAAACCTCAAGTCCCCTGTGTTGGTTGTTTGTTTTATAGTGGGGATTGAACTCAGGGCCTTGTGCTTACAAGGCAGGCATGTTTTCACTGAGCTAAATCCCAGCCCTGGTCCTGTTTCTTAAATGTTCATTGAAACATTTTCCTCTTGTAGACAGACTATATAAGCCAGGGTGTCTTACTTGTCTCTGAAGTGGCTCTGTGTCCAATCAGAAAGTGTACAGTGAGGCAGTTCCGAAACACTCCTAATGATGCTTTGTCTGCTAATCCTGGGAGGGAAGGGGTGGGGTTTTTTAAAGAATAAAATAATTATGCTAACTTTTATTAACCTGATAGTTTTGATTAACATAAATCAACCTCTGAGAGTTTTATGTTAAAAAATTTAAATATATAGAAAGCTAGTGTTCTAGTTTTAGATTGTAACTCCTCTGGGTAATATATCTTTAAATTAGTTTGATTTGAAACAAAGGCCTTTTTTGCTTTCCAGAGAAAAGTTAGGTCTTTAAACAGCATCAGCATGTGCTTGAATGTATAAAAACAGGAGTTTTGTACAAGATCCATCTTATATTATGGGAAAAGAATTTGGTTGTTAGGATTTTGTTTTTGTTTCTTTTAATGCCACTTGAGCCTAAAGTCCTGCTAGCATCAGTAGAAGGTTTTTCTGATTGTTGTTTTGTGTTTTCACTTACCTAGATGTTGTAATAACGGCTCTCGAACCTCTTTCTTTGAGGAAAAGGGTGTAGCTTGTGATACAGTGCCCTCCCCACACACACACTTGTTATCTCACCTTTCTGTGTTGGTACCCTCGTGTGAGAAGTGTAGAAATTAACGGCATCTTCTGAGGATTACTGCAGAGATTTAATGGAATGGCAGATGTAAAAGGCTTCACAGAATGCCTGCCACAGAATAGATAGATGTTCAGTACTTAAAGCAAGCTAATGCAGAGAGAACCCCCTGGCTTTTACACAAAGCACACGGTGTGTATCTACCTGATTTCGCAAGGCAGATTGTGTCAGTCGGTGCCCAGTTACTAGTGGTGGTACAAGAAGTTCCATTTTCTCAGGATTTTCACATGACCAGTCATAATCGTGTATTCAGGGAAATCAAAAATCTTTTCAAACTCAGTTTTATCTTTGAATGACTTAAGGCCCTGTTCTTTTGTGGTGGAGAGGAGGGTGCTGGGGATGAAACCTAGGCCTCACTCCTACCAAGCGTGTGCTGTACCGCTGAGCGACACCCTATCTCCAAGACCTCTCTGGAAGTATTGGGAAGGTGGAAATGTAACTCAGAGCATTTTTGTAGCATGTGCTGGGCCCTGAGTTTGATCTGTAGCACCACAAAGAAAGAAAAGTATTGTTTTATGTGTTGTCTTCGAGGTGTGTGTGTGCCCATTTCGCCTTTCTTTCCTTTTCTTTTGTTGTCAGACCTGCTGTTTCCTGTCACTCTTAAAGACTGAAAACTAAAGAGAGCCACACAAATAGCTCCTTTTCGTCTGTGTGACATACCTCTCTCCTACCTTCCACAGTCACGTGGTCTGGAAGGGTGTATTTTTGTTTGCTCTGCACCCTTTCAGACCTGGGTTCTCTGATCTAGTTTTACCTTAGTAGGAATGTTCCAGAACTGCTCTAGTGGGCAGTATTTACTTTCTGAGGACATTTGAGTTAGGTCACTGTTTTCTTGTTGAAACCTCTTCTTTGACTTGTAGCATATCATTTCTCATTCCCTTAGCTTAGCTTCTCTGGCTTCTTTTCTATTGCTCGCTCTCCAATTCTTGCTGTTCTCCAGGGCTCCTTCATTTGCCTAAGGTGATCACTTCTGCTTCAGCTTTCAGAACAATGTGGTTATTACTTCCAAATACTTGATTACCTTCACCTCCTCCCTTTGAGTTTCCTTATTCCCAGTTAGGTACTACATACCTCTAATCTGCCTGTGTTGCTACCCTTCCCCAAACTGTCCAATACTGCTGTGCTGTGGAGACGTTCTGCCTGGCCACATGTAATGATCGTCCTTCCATATTTGAGACCTTTTATGACTCCACCTTGTTCCCAGACTGGCAAACATGACCCTTCATGATCCGAGTACTTGTGCTGCCCTCAGTTTCTATCCAGCCCCATCATTTAGCAGTTCCTCCCTTGCATTCCCATCATTCCTGACTTCCCTCCGTGCCTTGGCATATTTTTGTTTGCCTTAACTGTGGGCCCATTCTCAAGTATTGCCTCCCTCCCTCCCACACATAGCCGACAGCTCAGTTCTTCCTCTCTGCTGTTGGAATATTTTGTCTTCTTTTTCCCAGTGTTTTGAAATTCTTTGTCTGCTTGTTAGCTTTCTCCACCAAACCAGCCTACTACAAGACAAAGGCATCTAAGTCATTGTAGCATGTGAGGTGCCTCACCCTTTCTTAAGCATAGGTTAATAAATGGTGCTCAGTCCTGTTCGTGAAATAGGACTTTTACAGAGAAGCTCACTGGAGGACTAAAAAGTCCTGTCGAAAACGTCTTTTTTAAGTGGCACACAGGAGAAAGTAGCCTGTGTCTTAGACGGCATAATAAGTGGAGGAGAGGACTGCCCGCTGGCCACTGGAGCAGGGCGCAGTGAGACTGTGTGACGTGGCAGCACCCTCTGCCTTTGTCAGAAGTAGGGAGTTGGGTGGCTTGATTTGTAGTCCTGGCTTGGATCATAAATTTGGACTCTCTGGTTCTTGGCTTCTTTACCTCTTGACACGAAAATGGATGACACCATATCCATGATACAAGAGCTCATAACATTGTTTTGCAGTGCTTAGGCAATGCATAGCATCAAATGTGCTTAATAAATGTTTTATCATCGAATCTGAATTAGTCCCTCTTTCTGAATGCTTTTAATAAAACCCAGATCATGTTAAATATTAGTCTGATAAATGGGCATGGTGGCACACACCTGTAATCCTAGCACTTGGGATGCTGAGGCAGGAGGATCACCATGAGTTTGAGGCCAGCTTGGGCTACGTGGTGAGTTCAAGCCCAGCCTGAACTACAAGAGCAAGACCTTGTCTCAAAAAACCAATAAATATATGCATATACTACATATGCACTAATATATAATATTCATACTAGTATAAGTATATATGCAAGTATATACATAAACTAACACAAGTAAGAAGAAATTGTTTTGCCTTTTTTTCTCTCCAAAGATTTATCCACTGTACTGATGATTCTCCAGATCCTTGTATAGAGTATGAGGTAAGAAACTTATTTTTCCCTCAGTTACATTGATGATCCTAAATGAAGATGGGTTGAAAAGTGCTACTTATTCTTAAGATAAATGAATGAAATTATTTGGATTAATTTCCCTGGGAGCTTAAAACCAAAAAGGATATATACATGTACTTACAGAGTGTAACTGTTTGTGATTGAAATAAAACCTTTGCATTTTCCACCCAGGTGAATCAGGTTAAAGTTTTAATCCAAAAAATGGTCATCACCATTTTACCACTTTTAAAGTATTGTTCATTCATCTTACAAATAATGTATAAAAAAATAAGAATTAGGTTCAGGGATTTAGCTTAGTGGTGCCGCTGCCTGTCTTGGAAGTGCAAGGTCCCAAGTTCGGTCCCTGGTACCAAAAAAAAAAAGTTAAAAGGCAACTTTATTACAAATTTTAAGAATTTCAAACATACTAAACCCTGTTTTTTTGTTCCATAGTTTCCTAGTTTTGAAAATATACACACATAAACATCTGTGGAACATGCAGTGTTCTTGGGTGCAGGAGCTCAATAATGCAGTGGTGTATTTTACATTTCTAAGACACGTTTTTAAAAGCTTTCTTCTGATAAAACATTACCAAAAATTTAAAAGCAGAAGAAAATACAGGGAATATATCACCCAGATATATTCTCAGTATTAGCATTTTGGTCTTAAATTTCCCTTTCTTGGTTGTATGTGTATGTGTATACTATAAATACTTCACATACTATTTTAAAGCTTCTTAAAAATTATAATTGACCATTTTCCCAGGTTATTCTTTTTAATATGCATTTTAGTGGCTGCTTATCTTATATATTTGCTGTTTTACTTAACAAGCATTACTTTTGCACTGCTGTTTTATATACATGTGCTAGTTGCAGAAGGGTGAATAAAACCTGGTTTCTTGACCTGAGAGCTTGCTTATAACTTGGTAGGGAAGACAGACATCAGATTGTCATAGTACTTTGTAACGTGAGATGAGTTATGGACAGGGAAGGTGCAGAGGGCTGGGGATGTAGAGAATACGGCTATTGCCTAGCAGCTATAAGGCTCATGGTTTTTGTTTTGTTTTGTTTTGGTTTGGTTTTTTGAGACAGGGTCTTACTATATAGTTGAGACTGATCTGGACTCACTACGTAGCCCAGGCTGGTCTCGAACTCACAGCAATCCTGCCTCAGCCTCCCGAGCGGTGGGATTACAGGCGTGCGCCACCACGCCCAGCAAGGTTTAATTTTGTAATAGCTAAAATTTGGAAACAGCCCAGTTGCCCATCAACTGGAGCCTGAATAAAGATGTGATTTTTTAAAATATAAAGTAGATTATTACTCAGCCATAAAGAATGAGAAACTAGAGATATTTCTAGCTAAGTGGATGCACATTGAGGAGATACTCTTAAGTGAAATTAATAAGTCGCACATGTATAAATACCAAATAGTTTCTCTGGTATGAAAAACTAAAAGTGTAAATAAGGATCAAAATGTATAACTGATATTGTACAACAGGATGAAAAGGTCTAAAAGACTAGAGGAAGTGGGAGGGGTTGGGGAAAGGCAAGATGGGAAAAGAAAAAATATGTGAAAAGGAAAAAATGGAAACAAAGTCTTTGTAAACAGGGAAGGGTGGAGAGGTTGAAGGGAGGGCTGGGGAATGGGGGAAAAATAAGAATCAAGGTACATCATGTCAAGGTACAAGATCCCGATGATGAGTGTAACGGTATTGTATACCTAAAATGTACCAATAAAATTACTTTAAAAAATTCTGAGTACTGATGAAAAAATGGAGGGAGGGAGCAAGAGAAGATACTGAGCCCTCCCCACAAAGGTTTTTGGGGAGCAGTGCCTAGAGTAATTCCAGTTCCGCCTTGCAGGTCTTGAAGGGCAGAGAGGTGTGTCCAGAATGAAGAAAGTGGGATTGACAGCTCTACAAACAATGCTACAAACAATTGGGACTGGTTAATGAATGCTACCAACAATTGGGAGCTGGGCATGGCGGAGCACACCTATAATTCCAGCTCCTCAGGAGGCGGAAGCAGCAAGATTGCAGTTTTGAGGCCAGGCAGGGCAATTTAGTGAGAGTATGTCTCAAAAAGAATTTTTGTTGTGGTTTGTTTTGTTTTGAGACAGGGTCTTGCTGTGTATGTAGTTCAGGATGGCCTTGAACTCACTATGTAGCCCAGGCAAGTCTTAAACTTGTGAGGATCCTCCTGCCTCAATCAATGCTGGAATTATGGGTGTTTGCCACCATGCCCGGCCTCTGCCTCAAAATTTAAAAAATCAAATTAAAAAAAAAACAAAGGGGCTGTGGATATAGGTCACTGTTTCCTGGGATCAGTCCCCTATACTAGGGAGAAAAAGAATAGGACTGATAATCTGCAAAGACAAAAATAGAAGAATACATTTATCAATCATAGTTTTCTTAAAGTTGTAACAATTCAGTATAGATGAAAGTTTATATATTAATTACATTAATAAGACTAATTGTAGCCGGGCATGGTGGCACATGCCTGTAATCCCAGCACTCTGGAGGCTGAGGCAGGAGGATCGCTGTGAGTTCGAGACCAGCCTGGGCTACATAGTGAGTTACAGGTCAGACTCAACTACATAGTGAGACTCTGTCTCAAAAAACCAAAAAAAAAAAAGACTAATTGTGACCTGATCCTTGGTGTTATTCACTTACTGTAAAATAATATGAAAACCATGAAAGGATTGATTATATGATTTTTCATGATAAACTTCATAATTTTATCAGAGTCAGATTACCAAATAGTACTTAAAGTGGATCACTTTGAATGTGTGTGTGTGTGTGTGTGTGTGTGTGTGTGTGTGTTGCCGTGGATCAAATTCAGGGCATGCATACGAGGCAAATATGTTACCACTGAGCTATACTCCCAGCTTTGAAATTATTATTTTTTTTATATTCCTAAAAAGTACAAAACATACAGGGCAAGTTCAGCACAGTCACAATCATGTAGTCATTCTTGGTACTCACTGTGTGCTGTGTTAGAACTCTCAGAATGATGTATAAGTAGCAAAGGTACATTTTGGCCCTAAAAAGTTTTAGCACAATTTCTCCTGTTTAGTAGAACAGTAGATAACAGCTCTAGTCCCTAAATCTTGTGCTTTGACACAACATTGTTTTGAATCATTTTTAAATCATTTTTAATGGCAGTCATTAAGAAATAATCTTGGCATGAAATTGTCTGTTAGGCCTTCCTTCTTGCATAGTTATGTTCCATTCTTTTCCCTTGTCTACAGCTTGTTCTCAGAAAATGGTGTGAATTAATTCCTGGGGCTGAGTTCCGGTGTTTTGTCAAAGAAAACAAGCTCATTGGTGAGTTATTTTCACTCTTCAAAGTAATCTTAAAAGATTTCAATCTCTTTATGGCTGAATAATATTCCAATGAGTAAATATACAAATCTGACCATTAGACTTTGTATATATCTCAAAATAGCACGCTGTACTCAAATATCTACAGTTATATGTGTCAATTTAAAATAAAACCAAAGAAGACAAGCTTTGGATGGAAAGCAACGCCTAGCATCAGGATAGGGTTATCTGTCCATTTTAACGTGGGTGCCGCCGCCACCCAGTTGGTGCTGACTGGAGCGTTAGTGTTGGTGAGCGTCCTGAACTCATGACCCTCTCCACGGAGAGGGGGTTAATTGTGTGTGTCTGGACTCCGGAGATGAAAGCGATGGTTATTGCCATCCACAATCTGGAATATGTGTAACGTTACCTGCTTTTTGTTTGAAGCTTTGCAAGTATTGCTACCAACTACTTCTAAGCATCATGAAAAGCCAAGCTTTTGAACCTATTTCTATTATTAGGGCACTATTTATTTTTCTAGCAAAAGAAAGTGTGGAAAAATGAGTAAGTTATTCTGTCACTGATTTTCTTTCCACTTGGGTTACTATTCTGTTTGCTATGATTCATACAAGTTAAAAACTGAAGATAATTTGTTCTTAAATTTTTGTCCCTGCATATTTTCTGCGAAATAAAACTTATCGTTGTTGACAAGAAAAGTGTAACTTGAATAGAATCAAATCCACAGCACTCACTGATGTGATGTTGACATTGATTAACACAGTTAAAAGAGACCTGGGGCATTTTAATTTTTCACTTCGTTGAATAATCCTGAAAAAACTGTTGTCTGTTCCTAAGAGGGGAGCTGCTCTGGCATATGAGTGGGGAAGTGGAAGTCCTGTTTACCCTGGGACTTGGGCATATTTTAGGAGTTCACTGAGTAGTCCTTTTAGTACATTTGGAATAATTGTCAGCAAGTCACTTTGAAAGATCAGACTTGTGAAGGCAGAGTTATATGTATAAATAAACAAGAAAAACAGCTTCTGTGAAGTTCAGTATGAATACGGCAAACATGGTGAGGAATTTTTAAAATTTCTCCCCAAAATGTGGAAAGAATACCAGTTTTTTTTAGAGACTTTCTTGGAAAAATTAAAGCACCAGCAGTTGACTATGTGTGCAGGTTTAAAATTACTTTCATTTTTTACATAACAAACCTTTTTATGACTGAATTCTTTCTAGTGTGCTAAATAGAAAAGAACTATTTCTAAAAGTAAGAATACATAGTAAAACGGAACTTCTGGGTTCATCTGTCCACATAATCTTTACAAAAGAGTAATGTCTAACACAGTATTCGTCTGATTACTCTTCTGACCTACTTTAATGGTTTTCTTAAAAGCTTATAGCATAAGTTAGTTTTTTTTTAAAGAATATTGCATAATAATGATATAAAATATTTTCTTGTCAGGCATTTCTCAGAGGGACTACACACAGTACTACGATCATATTTCTAAACAAAAGGAAGAAATTTGCAGATGCATACAAGACTTTTTCAAGAAGCACATCCAGTATAAATTCTTAGATGAAGACTGTGAGTATTCTTGTCGACACATTGCAGTGAAATGAAGTGCTTATGTAACTGAACCTGATTTTATATGATGCATGGTTAAATACTGGGTTTGAAGCGCTGTATTACCAGTTGATGTTGCTGATGGTTTGCTTATTAATTTCACCTTATTGATTAGAATCCATTCTTAAAAATTGTATCTTCTGGGATGTACTTCTTCTCTACTTGCCAAGATTATTCTTTGGCAAATTTGATTTTAAAAATATGAATCATGCCATCAGTGTAGATTTTATGCTTTAGTGTTACAAATTTTACTCTTTTCAATTCCCAAATAAGTGCTGTGTGCTCCTTTCCTGAGTATTTAACCTCTAACAGCTTATTCCAGGACAGCCAGTTACAATAATGGTGAATTAGTTGAGATAATGTACCAACAGTATCTGTTTGAATTTTTAAATACAAGGGAATATAATAGGTGAGGATAGAGAAAAAGAAAACAAAGTTATATTAAAAATCAGTGCAGGGTACTTTTTGATGTCTTAAGTTTTGAGATTTAGAAGCATTAAGTACTCCTGGTCAGTTATATTCTTCTGTGTGTAGTAATAAAATGTACTTTAATTTTCAGAATTTCCATCACGAAATATTAGTTCACTAGTAACTGAGTTTTTTCTCCTTTACAGTTGTATTTGATACATACAGAGACAGTAGGGTAAGTAAAAACTGTGTTCATTATGCTCTGAAATCAGGGCTGGCCTTGGAAACCCATTGCACAGCCATGGTGTGTAAGGAACCACTGCTCAGAAAATAAGTTCCCAGACCATTGAAGGTTTGTGAAATTCGCCATGGCCCAGAATCTCACCTTAAAATACCCTTAACATAGGAGACATGTCTGAAGTAAGGATATACCACAAGTTTAGGATTATTAACGGAATAGGTGGAAAATGACTCCCTTACACCCTTCTGCGTACTGTGCACCTTGTGATATTTCAGTACATCTGTACATTGTGTAATGTTTACATCAGGGAACCACATCTCCTGGAATATCGCCATTTCTTCAGAATCCTTTCTTGTGGTTCTCTGAAAGTCCATCATCCTTATCTGTGTCGCTCTCCTGCTCAGTAGTGCACTGGAGCCGTAGTATTCAGGGAGTGAGGTCACCCATACTCTTCTTTCTGTGCTGGGCTCGTTCCATCTATGTTACTGCAATGACAGGGTCTCATTCTTAGGGCTCCATGGTCTTCTGTTGTGTGTGTACCTATTCGCTTTGTCCATTCATCAGCTGACAGACACTTAGGTGGTTTGCATTTCTTGGCAGCTGTGAGTAGTGCGGTAACAAACATAGGAGTGCAGATGTCTCCTCGATATACTGATTTCATTTCTCTTGGATCTACACCCAGGCAGGGGATGCCGGATCATATGGTCGTTTCTATTTTTAAGTTTTAGAAGAACTTCCATACTGTTTTCCATAATAGCTGTACTAATTTCTGTTCCCACCAACAGTACACAAGGGTTCCCTTTTCTCCACATCCTCTCTAGCATCTTTTGTATTTCTGTTGACAACCACTGTGGCTGAGTGAGTTGACAGATAGCACATCGTGGCTTTATTTACATTTCCCTAATTTTGATGTTAAACATTTTTTCATGTATCTTTGGCCATTTGTATGTCTTCTTTTGAAAAATAACTAGCATTTTAAAAATCTTAAAAGTGATAACTTCTGTAATGAAAAAGAAAACATAAAGCCAAGACATGCAATGTTTTCAGAGAACTTCAAGTTGCTGAATATTGTCCTGCGATTGCTGCTCACCGAGTGAGCTGTTAAGAAGGTACGCGCGTGTTTTCTAATGCAGGGCCAGTCAGTGGCAGAGCGCTGCTCCCCGTGCTTGTCAGCCTTATGGTGGTGATGCCTGGGATACCTGTGAATCACTTTCTGAACCAAAGGATATGGCCCAAAACAACTGTTACCTGTTTTTGAAATCAAAGACATCACTACCTCTTCACTTTTCTGTCTTGCAAGATGATAGTTTCTATAAGAGTTAGAAAGCCTATAAAATGAGATTAGGCAAAAAGGAATGAAACTTGGCCAAGTTTCAACTGTGGAAACAAACCTCAGAAAAGGATGGGAAGCTGGTGTGATAGGAAGGACAGATAAGCTTTCTATTCAGAGTAGTCAGCGTTGACTCCCTCAGATCACTCCGCTCAGTGCACCACTCCCACAGCCATCGCTGACTGAGAGTCTTCCAGGTGCAAGACACTACTCCGAGCCGACCCAGAAGGAGTTTGTGTGTAGGTGAGGCAGAAGGTGATGGCCTGGGGCAGGCAGCTAGGGACTAGACCAACCCACTGTCTTTTAGTGTACCCATTTCTCAGAAGGGCTTTATTTTCACTTGATTCAGTCCCATTGAATCCCTGTAATCCTTTGAGTATGTGCTCTGCCCACACTGGACTGCAGCTGAGGCAATTTTTTTATATATTGGCAGTTGAGATATTGGCATCTGCTGAGATATCTCAGTGTATCCCTGGAACGTGTAGTAGTGTGTTATAATTTAATAGGGCTGACAGGTAGACACAGATGTTTAACTGGTGAAGTTAAAGAATATCTTACAGTGAAGTTGGACATGCACAGAAGTAATCACTGCTGTGTAATCTTGCAGAACTGAAACTAGTTACATTTTTACAAGTGAGAAACATGCCAGTACAAACATCCTGACAATTTCTGTTAAAAGATTTAAACCATATTGAAATACTCATTTGCATTTACTCAGTGGCACTTGTATCAGAGTTCGTTAGTCACTTTCTTGGCTATATTATTTTTTGGCTATTCATGTAGAAAGCTCACTCTTCTGTGTGGTCTCCGACCTGAACTGTAGCTGAATTGTGTTTAACTGTGCAGCACATGTGTCTGAACTCTTACTGTGGCTGGGAGGTGATGCTGTGTACGTCAGAACATGTGAGTCCAGGTGAATGTTTTTGGTCCTGATCTTGGCATTGTTGAAATTGGTTCGCAGCTTAATGTCTCTTGTGTGATTGGAAGTGCACTTTCTGATGTCTGAAGCATTGCGTAGAAGTCTTTCCATTAACCTTGTTAAAGTCTCCTACATTGTGTAGATGAATAATGTTTGAACTTCCTTCAGAATACTGCACATTCAGGATGGAACAAGACTGGCCAGGAATTGACTGTCGGACTGAGTGGGGTTTATGCTGTTTCTCTGCTCTATGTTTAGGCTTTTCCACACCTGGCTGTTGTTGTCTTGTTTGTCATTTGTTTTCTGTTTAGCCCTGCGGGGGAGGGAGCCAGGGCTCACTGATACCAGCCACATGCCTTAACCTTTCCATGTTTAAAATTAAAAACTGTGAGGAAAAAACTGTCTTTCCTAATTTTCTGTCTACCTGAGTTGTTAGTTACTGAACAAGCTACATTGAAATCTATTGCTTTCTGATTTTGTTAGCTTTTGTACAATGTGCCTTGAGGTTATGTTCTTGGAAAATGCTGGTAAATGTGGTTTCATTTTCTGGGTGAGTTCTCATCATAGCCAAGGGACCTTTTCAATTCCTAATAATAATACTATATGTTGTTAAAGCATATTTTGTCTAAATTACCATGAATTCAGGGGTTCTTTGGTTTAGAATTTGTCTTTTTCCATTGTTTTAGTTTTAGCCTTTGTGTTTTAAGTGTATATGTGTATCTTGTAAATAGCCTTTTTTTTCCTGTGTTTCTGAGATAGGGGTTTCCTTTTGTAGCCCAGGGTGGCCTTCACTGGATTATAGGTATGTACCACCACGCCCAGCTGTAAATAGCATTTTGCTGGGTTTGTTATTTTAATCACTAACAATTTCAGGTTTTAACCAGTGAGTTTGGTTTATTTTTATTGTATTTGATTTTTTTTTCTGAAATCTTTTTAGTTTTCTATTTGCTTTTTCCCCCTTTTATTTAGATTACTGAATTTTCTCACTTCGTTCCACTCTTCTTTTCTTCCTTCTTTCTCACTCTCTCCCCATGATTTTGATGTTTTAGTTCTGTTATTTTGTTAGTTACCATTAGATCGTAATACAGATCTTTAATAAAAGCTAATTTCACTTCCACTTGCCCTCACAATATGAAGGCCTCAGACACTCTAATTTCTACCACCTACTCTTGCTGCATGGGTTTGGGGTTGTATTTCCACCTTGTTTCTCTCTCCCTCCAAATGAGTTGTTATTCTTCTAGATTTTTTTTTTTTTTTTT